GCCTACAAATAATGAACATACAAATAACATCAAATTGAGGTATATAGAAATCTTACACCCGAACAAATCACAATTCATAAAATTCATAGTTTTACATTGATATACCATATGGCTTGCTGAGTGTTCAGCACACAAAGTCCGCCCACAACATCTGCAATGGTGCTACATAAAAAGACCCCAAAGAAGGAAATATATACTCAAGTAATTGCATACAATCGTGCAATGTTAACAGGTACACTGGAAACATATTGATTAAAAAAGGTATAAAAACATCTAGTTGTTATAAAATAGAATTAGAACCAGAGCTATGTAAAGACATGGGCATGTACACACCTAAGCAAGTACAATAGCATATGATGTTTCAAAGTATAAGAAAAAGAAATGGTATTGCATGAAATTTTGGAGATCAGAGAAGTAAACATATATTGCTTGTCTAATGGAAAACGAACAGATTCTAAAACCTAACTATATATATTGATGCATAATTAAATTCACTGTGCCCGTAAAGAAGAAAGGTTAAAAACTCTAGCTTGGTGATTCGTACAAGGTTAACCCCGAAAGAACTCTCGCACAGGTTTGAAATTTTGAAAAATTCAGCTGCGAATTTACTAAGAAACAATTAAAGAAGCAATTTAAGTCTCAACGCCTTCATAAACAGCTAAAAGCAGTTCCAATAGTAGAAAATGCATATACAGTTCGGATGGAGAAGTAAATCCACTCCGGATCAGATGATCATAGGGCAATATCACAAATAGGTTTGAAAAGGGGAATCGGGTAAACAAGAAAATATTGCATACCCGCCGTCGGAAGGCACTGAAGCTGCATTTACAGACGTCGCAGCGCGATGCTTCCTGAAAAGGCGGCGGTTCCGGCAACATTTTCCGACGTCAGGTAGCTTTCCCCTCTATCCTGTTATCCGCCTTTAAAACCTTGTGCAAATTGCAAACACAATTGCAAAAATGTAAATATCATGTTTTTTTGAATAGGAGTAACTTTATTGTGTTTGGACAAGTATACCCCTACTCAAGCCACAACAACTTTTAATTAAATGTTTAATTCATAATAAATTCAAAAAAAATTCAAAAAATCGTAGAACAATAATTAAAAAAATTATAAAATATTAATAAAATAAAAAATTTAAAAAACTATTTTTTAAATTTTTTATTTTTTAAAAAAAAATTAATAAAAAATAGTAAAACTCCATAAAAAATTAAAAAAATATGGATGCATTTCCCACCGCTTGTACTACCTCCCTGCACCACCACCTCCGAGCGGTGAAAAAAATTTCAATTTTTCCTAAAAACTGCTTTTTTCTGAAAATGCCAAAAACATGGCATATTTCTCTTTGCGAATGCCAACATTTTCATTGTTTTCGGTCATAAATATGACATTCGTAATGAACTTGGCATTTTTCCCCTGGTGACTGGAGGTGGTGGTGCTGAGGCGGCAGAGGCGGCGGTGAATTTTATTTTATATTTTTGAGTTTTTTATTTTTTTAAAAAAAAATAAATATTTTTTTATTTTTTGAAAAATAAATAAATAAATAAATTATTATGATCGAATAATTCATAAATTAACTAGGTTAGGATTAAATAAGTCATATTTTAGAATTAACTAGGTTAGGGATATTAAAGGTACAAAATTAATGTTTACTCCTATTGAAGGAAGTTTTAAGTTTTACTCCTATTTGTGCAATTATGTTTATATTTACTCCTATATTGGATAATTTCTATTATCATTATTACTCCCTCCTTCCCCAATTGAATAGCAAAACTTTTAGGATTAAAAAATGACATTAAATGATGTTTGATTTTAACACTTTTCTCATCTTTCTAAAAGTAGATGTCTTTAAATTAATGGAAAAAAAGTAAAAGTTTTGGTAAATTTGTCACTTTATTCTTATTTACATACCTAAAATAGAAAGTGGAAAACCATTTTGGGACAACCAAAAAAGGAAATTTTGCAAATCAAATTGGGACGGAGGGAGTATTTTTGAAAAGGGAAATCGCATATATGGTCCCTCAGTTATCCACGAAATTAAAATCTCAGATCTGTATTTCTGAGATTGTAAATGTCACCCCTCAGTTGTTCAAATTGTTGTAAATGTTGACCTTTTAAGTGGTGAAATGTACTCTCGTCCACATTGTATATTTCACCTCTCAAAAGGACCACATTTACAATATTTTGGACAATTGATGGGGTGACATTTACAATCTCAGACATACAGGTCTAAGATTTTAATTTCGTGGATAACTGAGGGACCTTATATGCGATTTTCCATTTTTGAAATATGACTTTTCGGAGTTTTCGCCCAAACAACTTATTCATATCTAATTGAAGAAGTTTATGCTTCTAATAAGATCATATGAATCTTAATTTTGAATAAAACATAGTTGACCTTTGTGTATGTTTCCAAATTTAAAAATTTGTTTATGTATGAGTGTTATCACATATCAAATATAAAAATGGAAAAAAGATTATATTTATACTTTGGAAAGATATAAATATGCATATGATTGGTTTTCATTTTTTTAAAATGCATAACATTCTATTTTAGAATTCCTCAATTTTTTACTCTTGTTTAGCAAAAAAATCTATATATTGAATTGATAAAAAAAAGTGTATCCTTCTTGTTGAGGGTAAATCCCGTAGATCCGAAAGCCCAACACGAACTTTGGATATATCAGGAATGACACAGAATCAACGTGTGTAACAAATATAAGATCTGAACTAACTAACACTCGAAAGCTCACTTGTATTAATTAACCAATCTGATTACAAGGAATTTCCCGATCGGTAGGTCGGAAACTATGCTTTAATACAAGAAATAAGAGCAATGATGTTATTCTAGAGTCTGAGTATTGAAATGCTAACCCTTACAATGACTTGAAACCTTCTATTTATACTAATGGAGAGCATGGGCTGCCTCATGCTGATTGGCCGTTTGTTCCACCGACTTGGTCATCCATGCTTCCACTTGCTGATGTCACAGTCTGGCATTAATTGCACTTGGCCACTTGCTGGTTGGTCGTTGCTCGAACGGGATGTTGGGTTGTACTGAAGATGCTGTCAAATTGGCCCAAGTATGATATATAGCCCGAACTCCGTTCGGTATGTCTTCTTACTGGGCCAACCTTTATTTGGGCCGAATCTCGTTCGGCATGAATTCTTTACTGGATCTATTCATCATAGAATGATGGGCCCGTTGCTTGGGCCGGGTATCTTGGGCCTTCTCGATCTGGGTATTGGGCCTCTAGGTCAATATCCCAACACAAGTCCCCCACTTCTGATGTCTCGAACGAAGTGAGTGCATTAGGAAGTATATCAATGTTATAATACCCCGAATGGCGATCGGGGTACAGAAGTAATCAGTTCCCCATGCTGCGATTCGACGGCTGCCGCTTCATTTCCCCATATTCATCATGATAACCGTCGTTTAGTCTTTTCATTAGACACGTGTTTAGCTTAAATGCTCCTAGTGACGTGTCGCTCTCTGATTGGTTCTCGACACAGCGGTTTCAAGGCTATAAATTAGCCTTTAACTTCTCAATTCCGGGTTTCGATTCTACAATTCCTTGGCCTTTGTTGTTTCCTCTGCAATTTTCTCCCAGCTTCCTTCGCTCAGGTAATTTCTCAAATCCGGATTCCTTATCTTCATTTCTGGCTCGACCGAGATGAGCCCCAAACAGCATTCCTCTGATTCGGAGATGGCCTCCCATGGAGATGACCGTGACGCCGCTATTGTGGACGTCATTACAGTCCCGTTTGCCGGTGGTTCTACTGAAACGGCGACGAATGCCAGGGCTGAGGCGGAGGACCTTCCTAGCACTTCCTCTTCCTCCAGTGAAGATTCCGACGACACCAAATCTGAGGACGAAATAGCCTCCATGGCGGCTGGACGTCCCAACGATTTTCCTCGCCATACCCTTGACCTAAAATTGATTAGGGAGAGGCGGCAAAAACTGACCTCCCATAATAGGGCCGAAATTCCGGCCCTTATCCCTGACCCGGTGGATTTTCGTTTGCAAGCTGGGCTTCACCCAATGCGTCATAGGCCCGGAATGACCATAGTTCATTTTGATTCAATTAGGGCTGGCCTTAGGTTTCCGCTACACCCCTTTTACATTTCTTTCTTCAATTTCTACGAAGTTGTACCGGCCCAAATTATGCCGAACTCCTATCGGGCAATGGCGGGTTTTATTTGCCGTTGTAAAGATGCCGGCGCCCGACCAACCCTAGAACTCTTTCACCAATTTTTTAAGGTAGCCTCCCAGCAAACCCACGGCTATCTGGCCACTAGTGCCCGAACGGGACACATCCTGTTCAAGGGAAACCCAACTTCAATCAAAGGGTGGAAAGACCGGTTTTTCTTCGTATCTGTCCCGGTCGGCCTAATTCCCCGCAAATGGAATGCCTTCCCCCGCAAGACTCCTGATCCTGTCCTTACTGAAGAAATTTACAAGGACGTGCTTGCTGTGGAGAAGGATAAATGCATGGACATCATGAGTTATCTGACTCCCGAATGACTTATTACAGCCGGGATAGGTACTGCCCGTTCTCTTGGGTTTACTTGTTTTGAGAAACCAAGTGCCATGGTCCGGGCGGTCCTTCCCGTGCGAGAAACGTTCTTTTGTTCTTTTTTCTAGTTTCTCACACGCTAAGGCCGCTCGATACTAACATTGTTCTTTGTCTTTTTTCAGCACCAAACCAAGATCTACCTATGGATGATAGCAGAGTTATCGCAGCCGGTGGGGCCGGTAAACGGAGAAAATCCAGGAAGAACCCACAACCTACTCCCTCCATTATTCCTGCTCAGGATGCTGCCCCTTCTCAACCGCTTCCAGAGCCTCAACCAATACAGCAGGTCCATCAGGACCAATTCGAGGCCATGCTGGTCGACGATCGGTTCGGCTCTGACCAACTGCATCAATTCTCTCAGCACTTTGACTCCGTTCGGGGGGAACCCTCGAATGCAGGTGAGACCCACACCGACCATATTACTGGTCAGGTCGAGCGGATCTCCTTATCTGATCCTGTCCACGAGGTATTAGAAAGGGCTGGTTCTACTGCGAGCCAGATTTGGTCGAACTCCTCTTGGTTCAACAACTTTTCCCTTCCTCAGTTACCGGTCGAGCAATCTGAAGAATGTCTGGCTTTGACCGCTCTGAAGGTACATTATCTTTTGCACTTTGTCTTTATTTTATTCTCTGTAATCAGTACTAACTCTCGAACGGTGCTCTGTAGATGGGTTTGTACACCCTTCAAATGTGGGACGCCCGTCTGGCCAAGGAGCGGGAACTGATTGTTGCCCAATCTTCTGCTGAGCAAAATGCTGCTGCAGCCATCACCTCTCTGGAGGCCGAACGGAAGGCCTTTGCGGAGGAGAAGCAGAGACTGGATGCTGAGCTCGGTACCCTTCGGGTCCAACTTGCAGCTTCCCAGGCCAAGGTCCTTGCCGCTGAGGCCGCACAGGTTAAATTTGAAGAAATGCCATCCAGCATCCCGGACGGTCCCTATGAAGTGAACGTGGATCTGTCCGCCGTCCGGGAAACATTTAAATCCTCTGATGAATTCTCCATCATCAAGGATTATCATGCAAGGACCCAAATCCCGTTCGCCTTTGGGGCGTACTTGAAGGGTTTCCCCAAAGGTGCTGGTCGGCTATCGGCAAGGGTGGCCCTCTTGGACAAGGATCCCGAGGCCAAAAAATAGAACGACTCCATTGTTTCAGACCTTTATGGCAAAATTGGTCAGGTCCTGCTGCGTCCCTTCGTTGCTCAGCTTCAAAATAATCTGGGGAGGCCGGTTCAGGCTTCTAATCTTCCCAAAGATGATATTATACAGGCTTAGTTCGAGAAATTTCTGCGAGCTCAGCAAAGGGAAGCTGATCGGGCTGCTGGGAGAGAGCCTGAGCCCCCGTCTGATGATGATGAGGACGAGGACGAAGAGGGAGATGAAATGACCCCCGGCCAATAATTTATATGTGCTTTTTAATTACTTGTTGTAACTTTCTTTTCTCTAAATAGCTTGTACTTCCCGGTCAGTAGAACCGATGAATATATATCCCTTTTTTTGCATGAAGCTTTGTGTACTGTCTTTCCTCTCTTTATTGCCTGATTTACTCGCCATTCGGGATTCGGCCCGTTTTGTAGGACAACCAATTTCCTGACTTTATTTCTTGCTCAAATACTCGTAATGCCGTTGATCGCCGTTCGGGCATTAGAAAGGTTCTGATAATTTATTAAGGAAAAAACCCTTCTCTCTGGTACTCAGTCGTTCGGGCTTCAGACCATTTTTTAGGACTTAGCACATTCTGGCTTCAGATAATCTTTTACAACGTTGATAGCCGGTCGAGCTTCAGATCAATCCTTAGGATAGCTTTTACGACGTTGATAGCCGGTCGGGCTTCAGGTTAACTTTTAGAACTTAGCAGTTTTCTTGGTTTTCTTTACACCTGGGCTTCTTCATAAGTTGGTAGCCGTTCGGGCTTCAGATCAATTTTTAGGACTTAGCCGTTTGATTTCAGATAACCTTTTACAACATTGATAGCCGGTCGGGCTTCAGGTTAACATTTAGGACTTAGCATTTTTTCTAAACAGCAAGTCCCTGTGATCTTTGTTAATCCTCTGTAAGCCCGTCCGGGGTACGTGCACAAAAAATGAATCATAAATGCCCCAGGTTAATCGTAACCACCCAATGCCACGTGTTGCTCATGGATTAGGGATTTGTGCGGCACTTTCCCTATTTATAGAGAGGTGCTTCCCCTAATTTCTCCTGCTGTTTTCTCACTTTTCTTTCGAGCTTTCTCTCTCTAGAATTCCCAGAATTCTCTTGCATACTCTCAAGCCTTCTCTCTCTAGAATTCCCAGAGTCCCTCCAGCGTTTTCATGTACTACCCCTCTAGCTCAGAATCTGAAGAGATGCCTTTGATTCGCACAAGCAAGACATCCGCTGGTAACAAGGCCGAAGGCTCTTCTTCCCAAACACCCAAACCCGCCAATCCTCAAGCCGGCAAACACATCGAACAGCCACAGGATGACGGATGTCTGTCCGGAGATGACCTCCAAGTCTATAACAAGGGGATGCCCGAGCGGCCACCCCGCATTGCCCTACACTTCACTCGCCTACGCAAACAAAAACAACGTCTTCCAGAAGATGTCGAACGGCAACTCAGCCAGTTGTTGCCCCCACCAAGGGAGTACTACGCCGGATTCATTCGGCACCCAATGAGGCACCGACCGGGGCACGTGCTAGTGCATCTCGATGCCCTGACTGCTGGGCTTCGGTTCCCTCTCCATTCATTCATTGTGGAGTTCTTACGCCGGGTTGCTGTACTGCCCGCTCAGTTCGTGCCCAGCACCTACCGCATTCTGACAGGCTTCATTATTCGGTGCCACGAGTTGAGGATCACCCCAAGCGTCGATCTGTTCCTTCACCATTACTGCTATCAGCCTTACTGGACGACCGGGTACCTGAAGCTGGTAGCTCGTTCTGATCGTCAATTGTTCACAGAGAATGTTACCCCGCAGGTTGACTGGGAGGAGCGTTTTTTGTTCGTTCGGGTAGGTGATTCTCTGCCATTCCCGGATAGGTGGAACACATACCCCGTTCGGGATTCTCTGCCCAGGGTGGACGCCGTTCTACGCTCCCAAGCTGAGTCTTTGCGGATGGGAGGGACCCGAAGTCTTCGGAGTTTCGTCAATACTTCAAGCATGTTATCTGCTGGAATCGGTAAGCATAGTAGGATTTTAACCCGATCATCCTTCATTCTCACAATTCAACTTCTTATCTTTTATTCCTCTTTCTTGCAGGTGTGATATCCCCCATATCCGTCCGACGTTCTATCTCTTCTGCTACCTTGACGGCTTCTTCCGGTAAAGGAAAGGAGAAGATGATATCCGATCGTGCTTCTGCGGAGCAAATCCGGAAGAAACGCAAGGGGAATGATGGTGACCATTTGATCCCGATCGATCACGTGGTTGATTTGACCGGGCCGGAGGTTGAACCCAAAAGATCGGTACCTGTCATTACCTCAACTCCGGTTCTTACTGACACACCGATCGATGATCGGATGTTTGTTGAATTTTCAAATATGGGGCCCAGATCAGAAGGGAGGTATCTGTTCGGACTGATGCCATCTTCTATGTGGTGTCATACTGCGATCAAAGTTCCCCCGAGCTTCACCAACTTGACCCACTGGTCGGATCTTTTCGAAGCAGGTCATCAGGAAGCACTCAAGGTACACCTCATTCAGATCCATGCCTTTCTACTATTCATGTTTTACCTTATCTGACTTTTATTGTAATCCTGTTTTCAGGCCGGTGTATACTATCACAAGGCCTTTCTTGCAGCTGAGAAGGAAATGAAAGCCCTGGCCAGCGATCGGGATGACGGCCAGGTCCTCCTTTCTGCCGCTCGGAAGTTGGCGGCCGATCTCCAAGAGCAGGCCAAGGAGGGTGAGAAGGCAAAAGCTGCTCTGGCCGAGATGCAGGAGAAGTCCCGTCGTCGCGACCTGGAGCTTAAAGAACTCCGGGCCAAGGTGCGAGCTGCCGAATCTGCTGGTATCAAATTCGATAAAGCTGCTGTCGATCATCTGCCCGAACCTTACACGGTCAATACTTCCCATATTGCACATCAATCAATAGTGGATTTTCAACGGGGAAAGGGGCTGAACGTCGCTCTGGAGAACACGGCCCGGCAATTCCTGGGTCCTCACCTTGGCCAATTCTTGCGTGAGAGCGAAGATCCCATCAAAGCAGGGATCGACCACCTGGACAGCACGCCGGAAGGGAAATCTTTTTTGGATGTCCTGACCGAGAAAACTGTGAAGTAAAGTCAGGACCTGCTTCTGGACAGGAACCTTGAATTGATCCTAGAGCATTTCTCCAAGCCGTTCGATCCTGACGAATTAGGCTTTGACGATCTGTTCGGGAATACATATGATCGCATTATGGAGAAACGGTCCAAAGCAGCGCCTGATGATGCAGTGCAGGCAGGGAGCTCTCAGCCTACATCCTCCCCGAACAGCAATCCTCCAGTAGTGTAGCCTTGCTGTAATTTTTTGCTTATTCATTCTTCTTGTATATTCCGGCTAGTAATGCCGAAGAATAAACGGGACTTCTTTCCTTATCTGTTGTCTTTTTTCTATCTTCCTTTGATTTTTTGTTCACAATCTTTTCTACGTGGCCGAACCTCACTCGGCTCATGTATCTTTATATCTGACACCTTTCCTGAACCCGTTTTGATCCCTTTTCCGTTCGTGACGCACGGGTTCAAAACTCTTAGCTGAGGTGAATCCCTCCAAGCCATTTTGATCGTGACCACAGGGTCAAACTCTCAGCTGGGACAGGGGCTCCCTCCAAACTGTTAACCCGTTCGTCATTCGGTCATCCAGAATGATTCCACACGTTAACAAGCTGAGATGAGGCTATCTCTTTACAATTGTTCTGACACCTTTCCCGAACCCGTTTTGATCCCTTTTTCCGTTCGTGACGCACGGGTTCAAAACTCTTAGCTGAGGTGAATTCCTCCAAGCCGTTTTGATCGTGACCACAGGGTCAAACTCTCGGCTGGGATAGGGGCTCCCTCCAAACTGTTAATCCATTCGTCATTCGGTCATCCAGAATGATTCCACACGTTAACAAGCTGAGGTGAGGCTATCTCCCTTCCAAACCCATAATTCCGATGCATTCCAAACTATTCTCTCTGGCTCGTATCATCCATATTAGGGGTCTGAGGTAACCCTTTTCGAACTGTAAGCAAGATCACCGAATTTGGGTCATTCCTTACTTATAGCTAAAAGGGCGACTCGCTTCCGAATCAAGTTCATGACTGAGGCGAGCTTTTTCAAAACCATAGTTCCGATTCCCCGGGCGACAATCCGTACCTTATCCGAACATCGCTCGGTTAATCCATATCTTACAGTCTTGACACCATCTCCAAGCCGTTTTGATCTCTTTGCCCGTACGTAATTACAGGGTCGACTTTGGCCAAGTTGACGACTCAGCCCCCTCCAAACTGTTAACCCGTTCGTCATTCGGTCATCCGGAATGATTCTGCGTGTTAAAAAGCTGAGGCGAGAATCACTGTCCTCGAACTCCAGGCCATTTTGATCCCTTCATCAATGCGTAATTACAGGGTCAAAACTCTTGCTGAAATAATGGCTCCCTCCAAACTGCTAATATGTTCGTCATTCGGTTTTCCAGAATCGATTCTCATATTAACCGCTGAGGTGAGACTATCTGAGCGTCAAACTCCAAGCCGTTGGCTGAGAATGACTTTCCTTCCATGTTGTTAACTCGTTCGTCATCCGGTCATCCGGAATGATCGAGTTAACCACGGGCACTGATTTTCTGAGCCTCAATTCTTCAAGCCGTTTTCGATCCCTGTATTCCTTCATAAATCTAGGGTCAAAAACTCCCTTAGCTGAGAATTGATTTTCCTTCCATGGAATTAACCCGTTCCTCATTCGGTCATCCAGAATGATCGTGTTAATCACGGGCACCGATTTTCTGAGCCTCAATTCTTCAAGCCGTTTTCGATCCCTTTATTCCTTCATAAATCTAGGGTCAAAAACTCCCTTAGCTGAGAATTGATTTTCCTTCCATGGAATTA